ATATTTCCTACTGACACACTACAGCAAAAGATAGAAATAACTGGCTTAAAATTATTTTTTGTTGGTGAAAATACTAGTGGCCTAAGATTTTTGCACAGTAGTGTGTGTGTGTGTGTGTGTGTGTGTGTGTGTCAGTCACAAACTGAAATCTAAAATCAGCTACACGTGAATTTATGAGTCACAACATTATATTGTGCAGTATGAAAATGGACATTTGTGAGATTAATAAATTAGTGTTTTAGGGTGCTTTCACACCTGTAGATCGATTGCTTTGTTCCGAAACAGAGATTAAAATTATTACAAGGTTGCTTTTTATTCTTGGTGCGGCTCGCTTTCACACGGCAAAGTTTCTAAAAGGACCAAATTCGTTAATACAAGTCACGCGCGAGTAAACTGTCCTCTCATTGGTCAACGTTTCACGGATTATTTTCCGGGATTCCACTAGCTGTCACGCATGTCATCCGTCACGACAGCTTCGCGGGCTTAAGTGCGGGTGGATAATTTATTTGAAGCTGCGGATTCGGGTGATGTTTTAGCTCATCCGCGCATCACTACTGTGCCAGGCCCAGTGGGATGTTTCTGTCTTCTTAAGCACTGGTTGAAAGGAGGGACAGTAGCCGCCAACTGCATCTAGCTTACTTTGAAAAAGTATATACACACAATGATATCTACAGAATGAACATGTGAGTAGCCTACAAATGATTGTGAAAATCCCTAAGCCTAAAAATTCCTCTAACATAACGCATATTTATGAGACATTCACAGGTTCATTTTGAAGTATTAGCAAAACAACAAAGCTAATGCTTTTCACAGAACTTACGTAATTACCCATTATACATTGTGATACAGCCTGGTTCGTTGGTCCGTTTGATTGGATTGCTTTCTCACTACAACCGAACCGCTCCAGAGTTCGTTTTCAATCGAGCCGAGACCACCTCGTTCAGGCGATCTCGGACCGATTGTTTTGGCGCGGATCCGAGCGCGATTGCCGTGTTCACATATGCCCAAACGAACTGAGCTAAGGGGGGAAACGCGCCAGGTTCCCGAAACAAAGGGCCAGGTGTGAAAGCAAAATAACTTTAACTGAGTGTTAGATGACCACAAAGGTAATCTAAATGTAAAAATAAGGAAAATGAGTAAGCACACATTAAAATTTTCTTAATATCACCCAAACATCTATAAAAAATATTTTGTATTACATCATATTTTCCAGTCTAAACCAGCAGATAACTTTTATCAGGGCCCTTAAGTTGCTGAAGTAGCCACTTAGTCACTAGAGTTGCTAAAGTGCTTTAAGTGCATCAAGAAGGGCAGAGATGATTGTCTATATTTCAAAATAAAAAAGGAAATTCATTTCACTGGTACACATCTATCTCTAAATAAAAAAACACATTAAATCAATATATAAACTTATATATAAACTATATTTATATATAAATATTATATATATTCCCATATATATAAACTATATTTCATTTCTCCATTCAGCAAATATTATTTTTATTGAAGAACAATTATTGGGACTTCTGGAATCACAAAATGGATTGTGGTTAGTTAAATATATCAGTATTCCTAAAAAAAAAGTCTAAAAATAAGCAACAGAAATATCTTGGGTCTTTGAGTCAAAAAGGTTGAGAACCACTGATCTAGGTGCACAGCAGAATAATAATTAGTTTCACCAAGAGTAGAGACATCTCAGTAGGTTATATGCAACAAAGACCAAAGTAAGGCGGTTAATGGGGCAGCATAAAAACACATGAACAACACATATTTTACAGCTGCATTCCCTTTCAGGTACTCTGCAAACTTTCAGTCAAAGCAGATGTGTCCTGCTCCAGGTGATACATCAGCCTCATCTTAAAGATCACTGGAGGCCACAATCCATTAAAACATCCCTGGGGGCTCTGACCTCACCTACTGGAGAAGCTTCATTTCACGGCCCTCTATATGCATTTCAGATTTAGCCAGGCCTCCCTTTGGTTTACTGTGTTCTCTATCCCTGTTGTTTTTCTTTAAGTGGGCTCTTGATTCCGTTGCGCTGGTAGGGCCACTTGTCATGATACAGAGTGCACCTGTAATGTCCCCTGCGACCCACAAAACACATAAATCACTTCAAAGAGCGGCTCCCCTAACATTCTCATAAAAAGAGTCAGTCTCTGATTTATTTCTCTCTCCACAGATCTCTTTCTGTTTAGCAGTCCTACAACAACAAACATTTTCCAACATTGTACCTGCACTCTAAAAAATGCTGGGTTATTTTTCTACCCAACTGCTAGGCTGAGCCTGTTGGGTCATATGTTGGATTGCTTTTTTCCAGTGCTCGGTAGTTTTTGTGTTACCCAGCCATTGGGTTAGTGGTTGGGTCCATCTCACTGACCGCTAAAACTATACACCCTCCCCCTCCCTCCGACAAATCAACCAAGCATGTGGTTACATAAACTGATTTTATTCGTTATAATACTAAATTTAATTTATTTTGATGCTAAAATATGTTCTCTATTCTCAGTACTGTTTGTTTATGGGCAGGTTATGAAGTCAGTCACAGCATCTTTCAGTTACAAGTGAAACGTGAGGTGGCGGTCTGAGGTTCGCAGTTCCCCCACCGAACAGCGCAGCCCATCATCGGCTCAGATTTTGGCGACACAGCGGCATGAGAATCAGCACTATTTTGGTTAAAGGGGATAACAGAGAAGTTGAGAGAATGGTTGAATACACTTGAATTAAAATGTTACTTTTAAATGTTACATTTTTGTATTCCTAAAATGCTTTTTTAACTAGTTTAAATGTATGTAATATTGCAAATTATGCTTTATTCACCCAAATAAATTAAATTTGTCTTAAATTTTTGTCAATGGATGTGCTTGCTTATTAATAAGTGCTCATCTTTTGATTATTGATGTTGCCTCTAGTAATTCTGTGTGTGATTTTTTCATTTCCAGCCCATTTTAAACCAGCAATATAATAATTTTTACACAATAGTTGAGTTAAAAATAAAACAACCCATCATGTTGGGTAAAACATTTAACCCAACCAGCTGGGTCAAAATAACCCAGCATGTGTTCTGTCCAATATTTACCCAGCACTGGGTTGCAAAATAACCCAGCAATGGTTGTTTTTAAACCAGCATCTCATATCCGGCCCAAACGAACCGTCCCATCAGATTAGATATATATGTAAAATCGAGGGGTTGAAAGAAGCTGAGATTTTGATTGATAATTTAAATATTCGATTCATATTACCAACAAGGTAAAAATCAACTCCAAAACAATGTCTGATATGCATGATAATGTGTCTTCTACCGAGGTGAAAAGGGGTGAAATACCCAAAATTAAGCCACTTTCTGTAACAATCATGTACAGATATTTAACAGATGCAGATGAGACAGCTATGTAATTCTGACAAAACAATATTTTGTATTGTGCATTTAATAAAATAAAGTATTTCCAATACTTATTTTAATGTGTCAAACGACCCATGGACTCTGGTAAACCTGCCAATGTTACTACATCTAAGGGATGAAGTTGGTATCAGGGGCATGACATTGGATTGGTTCTTTTCATACCATTCGGATAGATCAGTAAAGGTGATGATTGGAAATTCGTCCTCCTCCTCTGCACCACTCACATGTGGGGTACCTCAGGGGTCACTTTTGGGACCTATTTTTTTGGTTTGTATATGCTCCCCTTGGGTTCTATCATGAGGAAATATATTATTTTGTATCACTGTTATGCTGACGATACCCAGATTTACATCCCTCTTAGCTCTGATAACACTTATTCTGACCTTTTCAAATGTTTAGAAGATATCAAATGCTTCGAAATGCAAGCATTGCAAATGCAATAAACTTTCTTTGTATTACTTTTATCCATGCATTTATCTCTTCTAGACTAGATTATTGCAATGCACTTTATATGGGTCTCAACCAGTCCTCGCATCTCTTCACTGGTTACCGGTGCTGTATAGGATCCATTTTAAGATTTTATTATTTGTTTTTAAAGCATTAAATGGTGTATCACCGTCATATCTGTCTGAACTTCTCAGCTACCAACAATCTTCTCGAACTCTCAGATCCTCTGATAAACTCCTCCTACATATACCTCACTCTCACTTGAAGTTTAAGGGGGATCATGCCTGATCGTAGCTCTGTAGCTGCTATTCCTTGGCTATTGGATGAATAGTATTTTATATATTGTAATGTGTACTAACTTTTTTTATGGGTTATTTGTTGTTGTTTTTGTCTTTCATTTATTTTCTTACTTCTTTATAGTATCTAAATTATTTGTTTATGTATAGCGCTTTGGTAGACACTAGACGTTTGACCTAAATAACAAAAAAATTACAAGGTAAAAAAGTGTGTTTGTTTTTAAAGAATTAACTTTGTTTTTCAAATTAAATTTTCTTACTCCCAATTTTTTTTTTATATCTTTTTTTTAAGTATAAGTATAAATATATATTTTGTTGGGGTTTATGCTAGAAAAAAAAATCAGGGTGCTAAAGCTAAAGTAAAATCAAGCAACTAAACTTAATTCAAAACTTAATTTTTTGCTATTTTAGTAAAACTAGATAAAAAACACTGATCAAGAAAATGATTACTTTGCTGTGTCAACACAAAATATGCTAGCTGGTCAAATCATATTTGTTTATTCTATGAATGCCACAAACAGAAAACTGAAGGCACGTGTGTGGCTATCACAGGCATCAACTTGTTATTTCCCAGCTTCCCCTGTTTGCAAGCCCTTCTGCCAAAAGAGACACAATATTTATTTACTTAGCAAACACCTACTAAACTTGACTGACTTGTAATGTCTTACTCTTTACACCCTCTGTGCAGCTGTGGTTTTACTGGGAAGTAGGAGACACTGAGGTAAGCACCCCTTCTTAGAGTTCAGGTGGCTAAACTAAGAGATCTGTCCCAGAGACCACTGGATTAGCATGGCAACAGTCTTCTTTATACTGCTTGGAGAAGAGATGATGATTTTTGGTCTGTTTGTTCTCATTACCTCCTAGTTCCTTCACATTCAGTATTGCATTTTCGAATGGCACTGCCTTGATGCTGAAACCTGTGAAAGAAAACATGCTCATGTTAAAATTTCACAAACTTTGTGGTAAAGGACAATGTTTGAAGTATATATTGAATTATGAATTATATTACTATATATAAAAAAAGAAAGAATCTAAGAATCTAAGTTTTGAATGACATGAGGTTGCATTGATAATGACATCTGTGGAACATGCGATGGGACTGACCAAATCTAGACATGTATATGGGTGGTTTTTGCTACAGCGCTTTTAGCAACGTTTTTAACCTACAATAATAATGCAATTTAATTATCAAAAGATACATCCACTTTTTTTCCACTTGTGCAATGGGCATGAGGCTTCTGATTGACATTAAACACAGAAGACATTCACTTTGACATTACATCCGTTGTGTTAGTTTCTCACCAATGCATACAGAGGCAAACAGGGCAGACATTTGGTACTGATTAATGCAACTGAAAACATGTGAGACTGAACCTCCAAAGCCCACATTAATTTAAAGCTAATGTTCATGAGGTAAGTTTCATCAAATGCTCAACAGGTGAGAGTAAATATGTCATGAACAGGAGAGAAGCTCTATCTAGGTCTGTTTTTGCAGACTAGCGACTCTGACAACTTAATCTAACCATATTTCCATGTAAGTCTGCCAAATAACACTTCGCTTTTGTAATTACTGCTTCACTAGACAGCCCAAGACAGGTGTTCGCTCCAAAGACAAAGGGCGGCCATCATTGGGTGCACATTCTGGCTTTGTGTATCGTCTAGTGTGCTGTATACATCACACTCCGATTGTTGAAATGTGCCAAAGAAAGCCTGACACAATTGTGTCTTCTCTTGTGAAAAGAACCATTTGTGTTGTTGGTAAAAACGGAAGTGATGTCTTCCATCTCAAGAGGTGAAGAAATTCATGGATACACCAGCCTGTCGCCAATGGCTCTAATGAAATCAACACTCTTGTCACAAGGAAGAAAGTCTATGTGACAAAACCCAGATGTTCTCAAAAAAAGACACATACATATGCTCTTTCTTTGGTAAAGTAGCATAGTGCTCAAATGGAGGCTCTGAGGTAACCTGCAGCAATAACGTTACACAGCTTTCAGTACTCAGAGAGGTAGAAAAGCACATTTTTTCAGATTTTTCAGATGTTCCAGAGCGCTGGGAAAGTGTAGTGCCGGAGATATGATATATGTACTGAGTACAAATGTGGAGGCTTAGGCAAACTCACTGCAAAAATAGTTGTTGGAATGATTTTTCACATTTGTTTGAGAAACAGGAGCTGGGGCTTGTATTACTTGTAAATTCTTAGACTAAGTCTTTTTAGGTCTCGGGGCTAAATATGTGATTTGTCTCTCATATTTTGTTCCTTTGAAAAGCATGTTTTGTTCACTTAAAAATGCTGCAGTACAAAGCTGCAGAGAACTGTTATATTACCTGCAGTTGGTACTGTGCCATCACTGATCTCATTGCACAAGCGAGATAACAGACTGGTCTTGCCGGCTCCACTCAGTCCAATGCACACGAGATCATACTCTGGTCTAGGAGGAGGGGGGGTCATACAGCACAACTTCTGGAGACACTAATAAATAAATTAAAAAAACAACAACAGAGAAGATAAACATGGTTAGTGACAATGAATGGTGCACTTTTCACTAGCATGCTGATAAGGCTAAAATGAACAATTTAAGCATGTTTGCCAAAGAAGACAGCCTGAAAATAAACTGAGGAGCATGAGCTGACAAACGCTAATGAAGTTCTAAATAAAGACGTCTGCTGATGCCAATGAACTAATGCAGTGATTTGAAAGCAACACATCTGGAGGAGAACTCCTGAACTCACAATAAAATGACTTCACTGACAAAATGGGATATGAAATTCACCACACAGCTGTTGCTTTCTCAGTGACCACGTTTACGTGTGTCCCTTCAACTCTGGCCATTTAATGTCCAAGAGTGCATTTTTATTAAAACTGATTTGTAACTTTTTGTTATATGAAGATCACATTAAAAACATTATTGGAAATTTTTTACTATGAGATTTATTTATTTTTTTGCTGTTTTAAAAATATTTTTTTTGTGCAGATTTTATTGTTTTACAAATAGGAAAAAAGACAGTATTTTGTGTGAAAATAACACCAATGACTGTGACTGTCCCAGATATGAAGTCATTTCCACCTCAATGAACAATTCTGCTGTTTCAAAAGTGAGTGTACTTGTTCAACAAGGAGATAACAGTATCAGTGAATAACATGCTTGAGATGAAATATGAGAATTAAATTGACAGAAAAGACAAGACAATCTTTTTTTAAATCATCTGGAGATCATACTGAAAAAGCCAACAGAATGACGGAAAAGGTGTTTACATGTGGTGTTTACATTGGGTTTTGCTTAAACCATTTATGACCTTTGCCTGATAAAAGAATAATGTTTATTGAGTTTACTAGACCTTACAGGTTGTATGAGGGTTATTAAGCATAACTGGTGTAAGATTGTGCATCTAAACAAACTAGATGATTTACTGCCTCTCCTGCACTAATGTGGCTGAGACCTCCTTTCCTATTGCTTGATATTAGGGCAGGCTTTATTGTAGAATTTGCTTGCCCTAACATGTAAAATAGACTGTTACCATACAGTCTAACGCAGTCTGTGTCTGTTTAGGGGGGAGGGTGTGGAAAAGAGAGAGAGAGGCAGGATTCTGAAAGCTTGTGGCCTCATGGCAGCAGACAGACCTGTCACTTTATGAATCACTGTCTTTGACTGGAGGCCTGCTGGGAGACATTAGAAGGCAAATGCTGTGTGAACCGTGAATGGGACGGTTAAAGCCGGTGTGGAGAGATCAGTATACAGAACTAAAAAGATATATCTTTTATTAGCAGGACAGAACTAGTCTGGGCCAGGCAGGGCTTGATTCTGCCCTTCACCTCTGGATTTTTTCATTCCACATGGAAACATACTCGTTGTAGTCTCTATATAAAGAGCAGTTTCTTTCTAAATAGACAAATAGACAAATGTAAATGTTATGCATTCTCATAAAGCAACATTACATTCCTAAAGGGCAAAAATATATCTGGCCAAAATATATTTTACATATAAGCTAAAATTTATGTTGTAAAGAGTGTGGATTAAGGAAATATATTTGTTAAATTTGTTCACATATTTCTTTTAAATGGCAAGCTATTGCATTTCATATGGACAATAAAATGCATTTCCAATCTTAAAATACATTTAAATTGTACTGGATTGGAGAGATATTAAAAATAGAAGGAAACAGAAGTTACATCCAAAATGATCAAAAAATAGATTTATGTAAATGTGTTTTTAAATCCATAAGAGCAGTATTTTTTTGAACATTTTTGGTTATTCTGGGACATATTTAAAAATATCTGGAAAAAATATATATTTTGCTGTATGAGTTTGTGTGACTTTGTGTAAAGTGCCGTTAGTCAAAACTTCTAAATTCTGCCACAGAGCCCCATCTTCTAACGTTACAGCTCACTCATGTATTATGTAATTCTTCCTGAATCCTAATAGGGACAGCAAAGGCTTGTAGGCAAACAAATGTGTCATTTTCTCTGGTGCTCTTCCATCACTAAAATCCTAAATGGCTTTCACAGGCCCTTCACAGGAACAGCCACAGAGAGGCCGCCCTACATAATCGGTCGGCCGCATATGCTTCTGCTTTGTCACACAGCAACCTGGACATCTGGTTCTGTAAGAGGCTGATGAATTTACCCTATTCACCCCACCTTCACTTACAGTGCTCAGATGGGATGATAAATTTACATCAGTTGCTAAAGGCACGTCCTGGAGCTTTGACCCCACAGCCCATCAGGGTTCCCACAGGAGCACAGGGCCACACACTTCAGCGCCCCATGTTGTTGCAAGAGAGCAAAATAAAGGATTTCCCAGGTGTCCGAGAAGAGAAGTCACATTTAAAACAACTGTTTGGTCAGGATTTTTCTCGTGCCAGTGAGGCAGGTTGAAACAGACACTCCTGCCAAAAAGGGTTTCTATATGTCGAGAAATGCTAACTCTTGATTGATTCTTTTGGCTCTCGTCATATTGGACGCATTTTAATTGTTCATGAGCCACGAGACATTACCTCACCGATGTTGGGGCAGTTGTAAAAGCTGATGAACTGCTTTTTATGTAAATGAAGATGTTTGAAGGTATAAATATTCCAGACTGACAACAGCTGTGACACGGCACTGACACATTTTTAGATTAAATGTTTCGCTAAAAGGTATACGCAAAAAAAAAAAAAACTCTCAAGCCCCCTTATCCCACGCAGTTTTCTATTTAAAAAAAGATGTCAAGACATCAAACGGCCGATGTAATTAAAAGGCCTGGCTGAGTTCCAAACCCTGGCACCAAAACAAAGATACGACAGCGCTAGAATCCAGAACGGCAGACAGGAGAACACAGCTGGGCCAAATCCACTCAGCATTGCCACAATATTGAATCTGCAGCCCTTATGGAAGCAACACTGAACAATGCGCCACTGCAAAAACAACTCCCTGCCTGCCAATTTCTACTGAATGGACCCCTTGGCTGAGTGAAGGGGACCCTGTCTGCTCCATGCAATAAAGAAAAACAGTCGTCTGACTTCCATCATGAGAAAAGTAACATGCTCTGCATTCTGCCGCTCTGGAGCATAGTGAATAGCAGCGACAACAGCGATCGCTCTGCGGGGTTATTGGCCAAAGGCTTAATCCTTACAGACACATACTGTATAGAGATACTGTTGGTTGGGGGGAGGGGGGTCTAAAGGGTCCGTCTGCCCCCCGGACATGCGATGGCCAGCCGTTGCTCACTTGTCTGCTCTATTTTAAATGACAGCTTTGTATTTTTAGAGCCAATAAATGAGGGGGTGAAAGCAAGGGAAGCACCACGCAGACAGACAGGGCTCACATTTCACTCATTTGCCCTCTGAGAGTGTGAAGACAGAGCAGACGTCTGCCATTGAAGCATCGGGCAGTGATGCCATCCTGTTTGCCCCACCTGCGCCTCTATGCATCGCCCATTGCCATGGCTTTGACGGTGACACTGTTTGGCACCTCAAAGGATTTCTGCATTCTTGCACCTCAAAAAATGACAATTCTCTTATTTACTCATCCTCATATCGTTACAAATATGTACATTGTTATTTTGACCATGGAATACAAAACAACAATCATTTTTAAAGAATCTTCATATACATTTTTCATATACAATAAATGTTAATAACATTAAAAAGTACCATTGGTAATTAATACATAAATTAATAAAATAACTAATGGTGATTTATGACCTGCACGAGGGGGCTTAAGTTTGGGTCTTTTCTAAGGATACACAATATATCATTATTATATCAGTTATTGGCAGATATTATAGTTTTTTATTTAAATTTATTGGATATGCATCAGATGATATTGAATCGTGGATGTTAATTTTCCCTATTTTTACATTTAAATTACCTTTGCCATCATCCAATGGTCACTTAAAGTTTATTTAAAATATTTTTTTAATGTTTTTAAGGCATAAATAATCTTTGTAATCTTTGTCAAATATCAATATTAATATTTATTTTTAATACTGTACATTATAATGTTATAATTCACTTGTAGCAATTAACATTTTTATGTAGAGAAAATAGAATGTAGACATATAGAATTTCAGTATCAGGCTTTTAGCAGTATCAGTATACATGAAAATAATTATCTGCTTATTGGTATCAGACAGAACTTTTAGATGAATCTTCCTTACATAATGCTAGCGTCTTGGCCTATAGCACAACTGTAGACCACACAAGGTTCACATTTCCTAACATTGTGAGTTCTGCACTGAATGAAATTCATCTAACTTGTTTGTTAATGGTGAGGGTGTACTACCAGCAGTAATGTCACATCTTTTGCGGTGTAATGTGAATGGAGAATTTCATTTGGGCTGAATAGGTACTGAATTCAGCACAAACCTGAGCCAATATGAATCCCCTTCCAATGCCACATGCATCAGTTTCATCTTTCACTGATCGGGAGGGTGTGTCTCTGGAAGTAAAGACATAGATCATCTACTGCTTTCAATCGATGGCACGCTCAAGTAAGCCCCCCTTTGCCAGATCGGCGTATTCCATCTTGCTATTAATTCAGGGTGTGGAAGTAACCTGCACTAGATTTAATGGCACATTGGGAAATTATTAGCCAAAACTTGTGCCAGCAATGATCAACAAATATAAAAATGCCTAGCTGTAATCAATCATAGCAAAGAGTCAAACAGCTTCAGGTCATGCCAAAACAAGTCCATAATGAACAACATCTGATAAAAATAGCACTGCGGAGTGGAAAATGTTGCAGTAAAATTAGCACAGGTCCACATTCACTACAGGACATCATATTTCACCATCCAAAACCAGCCTTATTAAGCGAAATGTGCCAAATGCAATATAGCATGAAGTTGAATAACAAGGCAACTAAAAAGCAGTATCAACTGCACAACCCTCATAATGTCTGGAGACTGACTTGTTTACAGACTTTATTTCTCGTTATTACTGCTATATCTTGTAATTGTAACTTTATATCTCAAAGCTGACTATTTCTCATTA